CACGAGCTTATTTTGCGTCTCATGCTATCCCTTTGAAAATGTACACGAAACTCCCTCAAACACAGCCTTAGATATTATGTGTACAGAATTTCAGTACGATGACTTAACGACAATTGTAATGTTGTTATTGCGTTAGATGTTTGTATCTTGTTAGGAACCTATTTTACGACTTTGCAAGTCATGTTTATCGAATTATTGTGGAATAGTAGCATGTTTCGATTTCATTGATTAAGAAAAAGGTAAATGCATCTTTCTTTTCATTATCACTTGAAATTATATATTTTTATCGTGTGATTAGAACTTGTTGAAACGAGATATAACCGTATTGTATATCACCTCCAACCTCGAAATACATAATTATAATTTTATGTTGCTTCTTTTACTAATTCTCTCCATCGATCAAAATAAATTATGTTTGGGCTTATAATTTGTAATCTTCTTGATGAGACAAGACAAGATTACGCTATAGTTTTAGATTAATTTGTACTTAATTACACTAATCATGTTATTAGTTTGAGAACTTGCGCTCTTAATTGTACTCCGTATGTGAGAGAGAAATTTGATTCAAAATGTAGATTAAGCCCCCAATTTGATTTTTATTCTTTGGCCACAAAAATGAAAAATATGATTGTTATCCATTACACCAAATCACCATATTTGACTTTTTATATCTTATGTGGATTCCGTAACGATTATATTTTTCATTTTTATTCTTAGAAAAATAAGAATCAAGCAGGCCCCAAGAATCAATTTGACAAGACTTACATTGTTACTTTTGATTTTTGTAGAAATACTTCCTAAGAAAGCTACTTTTAAGTAAGTTTCATTTAAAAAATTTTCTACTTAGGTCCATTTGACATGATTTTTGAAAAGTTAAAAGGAACTTTTAAGACTTAAAACCTACTTTTGTACTCGTCTGACTAATTTAATGAAAGTATTTCTTCTAGTTAGAAGATTTTTAGAGAAAGTTGGTCTAATGTGACTTTCTCTAAAATTAGATCAACTTTCTCTAAAAGCGCTTCTGGAATATGAAATTTTTTTACAAATTAGTTTCGAAATAAAAATTAAAATAGTTCATTCAAAAAAAATTTCTACAAGAAGTAAAAGTCATGCCAAACTGACCTTTAACAATGTACTTTAGAAAAAAATATCCAATCAAACATGGTCTCAATACTTTCTTAATTTCAAAAACAATTTTTGACTTTTCAAAATTCCTATAATTTGTTGTTTTTTCTATGTTAAGTGAAATAAGAGCCGACAAAATTAAGAGAAAGATCATAAAATATCTATCTCCATTCTAAACTTTAAATCATTCCTCAAACTGGTTAAAAGGACTTGTGCATTTTATTAAGCATGTAAATTTTGTAAATTCTTATTTAGCCGATACCTGATTTAGCTAAAACTCTTATTTTTAATAAATTTTGATAAAAGTTAAATAAATGTATGATTAAAAGTTTATAACAGTTGTGCGTCTCATGGAATGTGTGATTATAAAAGAGTTTGAAAAAATAATTAATTTTAATAAATGGGAGCCAAACGAGAGTTTAAACTCGATAGCAATTAGATGCGTAATCTAAACGCTTGGTACCAAACTTCCAATAATTGCATATCTAGAGTTAGTGAAGTCTTTTTTTTTTTTTTTTTTTTTCTCCTTTGTATCTAGAAGTAATTATAAAGTCACAATTTAGATTGTTTTTAATGGGCATTACACTTAAAATTGCTTTGAAAATACATAGTACACGACAAAATGTTACAATTCATCTAGCAGAATAAAATTATAGTTATTACCTGTCAATTTTACTTCTCTGCATAACTAGTTGGTTTATAAATAGATATTTTGAATTGAATGACCATGCAACTTAATTATAAATTATAAATCGCTTGGATAAAGCTGCTTAGTCGAAAGGATTTGACAGAAAGTTTGATATAATTGCTCATGGCAGTAGATGATTGGACAAAAAAACATATGTGTTTTAAGCTGTCCGAGTATAGAATGTCACGTGATATTACGTCAAACTTTATGTTAACATTGACGTTAGTGAAGAATGATTTTTATTGCTTTGTTATGAACAGAACGGAAGGTAGATCCGGTGTCCCCGATTGTCAAACGGGTGGGCCTGGGCACCCATCTGCAAATTGCTATTCTGAAATGTGAAGAGTCAAAAAATGAATACTAGTTTGTCAGACACTTGGACCAGCAGAAATTTGAAGTTGATCTCACTCCATCCATCTAGATTTCTACAAGACTAATTGCAATCTTCCAGAGGGGAAAAAAGTCAAAAAAATGCTAAATTTTCTTCCCTTTATTCCATATAGGCAGTCTGCTGTAGTAAAAAAGTTAATCCCGGTTTGGCCCTTATTTTTTCTTAAACTTATTTTTAATTATACATTTATGATATTCGCAAGTATTATCAACTATTTAATCACACATTTCATACACTTTTATCAAAACCTAGAAAAAACCAAATATTGGTTTCTTTGCATTAGATTTTGTAATGATATGCTTGTAATACTTGCTATATAATTTCTGCACGTTGCATGTCACACAAGTGTTTTGATTATAAGTTAGTTAAACTCTATTTTTCTTACATTTTGTAGAACTACAACTTTTACTTCTTAAATAATAAATCCCATGGGGGCCCATTGCTTAAATTATAAGCTTCGACTAACATGCAAGAATAATACTATTTAGCACAATGATAGTTTGCAATAGTATAGTTGATAGCATTTGATGAATGCGACACACTGAGGTCCAGCTTTTCTCTACTACTCAATGGAGTTGGCATACGAAATTTTCCATTGAAGGGTTCAATTATTAGGGCGGTTACTGTTATTCACTTCAAGAGTCATGAGCCTACGCCTATGCCATTACTTTCGAAGAGCTCTTCAAAGAGCTAAGGGATGAAAAAAGGAGGATGTAGAATTTATTTCAACTATAACATTAATTACAACACTTGCCATCACACAATATGACATGACATTCAATAAGGGGATAGAAGCACATCCTCCCCTCAATATGTCAAAGAAGCTTTCAACATTATTAAATAGACATTGAATTCTAAATTTAATTGAACCTATTATTTGATGTTGTAAGTGTTATCGCTCGGATTTAAAATTACTATGCAAAATAACAAATATATTGTAATATTCTTTCTTTTTTTTTCTCAAGCATAGCTTCTCTGCAACATTTTAAACAAAATATTAGTCACGCACAAAAAAAGAATTTTCCCTAAAAAAAACATAATTATAGCGGAATAAAGAAAATCAAAAGGCTTCAGTGGATTCCACTTAGAGAAGGTAATTAAGAAAAGGAAAGTCAAACTTATGACATGTCATTTATGGATTTTGACTTGTTCTCATCTCTACTTTAAGAAAAATAAAAATTCCTTTTCTTGTAAACAATAAATTGATGACACTCTCTACTTGGTAAAACTTGAGGTGCGGCTTCTGGAAGGCCATAAAGATATATATGGTAGACAAGTATTATATCTTTTTGGAGAAAATTGAAGTAATTATTTTTAAGTAGTTACTGCAAAGAAATTTGAGTAAACCAAAATTGAGCATGTTTGACTAAGCTTACAATGTTTATCCGATTGTCAATAAATTTTTACAATCTTTTCATTTATCTATACATTATCGGCATACCAAGACATCGTTAACGCTATACTTAAACTCAATTACCGAAAATTGGGTGTAAGGGTTTTAACTAGTTTTTGAGATATTATCTCCAAGAAGTGGTTTGTGTGCGTGCGTGCGCACGCACGCGTGTAAAGGATTTGAATTTAGAGGTATTTGTGATCTTTCAGCAAGTGCACTTGGCTGATTTGTCCTATTGTCGGCGAGTCATTGATCCTATTCTAAGATTTCCAGACCGTCTCTCAAATTTTCTAGTTGAACAAATGATTGTGGCAAAGTACAATGGTATTAGAAGATTTTTGCTCGCAGATGCATAACAGCTATCAGAGAACAAATAGCTTAAAATTATGTTAAGGCATCAAGTTCGCCTCTTGATATTATTTAATAAGAGTCGCATCTGGTATGACCATAGGTGGCTCTCCATGCGGCCTCCATGTATGGAGCTGGAGTAACAATATGCATTCTCTTTTCAAAGAAAATGAAAGTATTTTCTAGTCGGGTAGTGCAAAGAAGTTGAGTAAATAACGATATCATGTTCTAGCAAACCGTAATGAGCGTATCTGATTGAGTTTAAAGGGTTAATTTAAGAAGTAATTTCAAAATAAATAAGTTTTTAGTTACAACTAATAAATCAACATTGCCAGCTCTGTTCATAATTCAATTAAAAGAATAAGTCAAAAATGACGGATGATTGAAGAAAGTAACTATCCAAAAATTATTTTTTTGAAGTGAAAAATCAGAAGCAAACATGCACCTATTACTTATTTATACACTTTATCAACTTTGCAATTGGTCAAATTTCAATTTTAGTACTTGCTTGATAGGGGTTTTGATAATTATTTTTTTGACCGTTAAAAATAAAATGGTTCCTATCTGTAAAAGAAAAATTCAAAATGACGATTGAAATAGTGAAATAACGATCAAAAAATTGATTTTAATTGGATTAAAACTTCCACCAAACAAATTCTTAATCACATATTTTATATGATTCACAAAGTTTTAGCGTTTTATCAACTTTTATCAAAATCTAATAAAATTTTAATAATTTTTTTTTTCTCAAACAATCCCTTAATAGATATTTAAATATTTTGTCTTGTGAAGTGAATGTACAACAATAATAAAAAGTTGCAGAATTATATGTTCTTTTAGTAACGTGAAAGTCTAACTTGTTCCTTGAACAATAAATCAAAAACCAATATTGCAATTTTTCCTAATTATCAGCAAACGGAAGACTGAAGACTGCTTCAAGTTCAAAAATCTCAGGACTTGGGCCCCCCAAGCAACAAGTCAATTCTCATGACTTGACCAAATATGCATGATATACTGCAAACTTCTTCCAACCCTGATTACATCATCTTTATATAAGTATCAAGAAGGTTCCTCTATTTTCATATTTAACCTAGCTAGCCTGTTCCCACAGGAGAAGGAGGATAATATTAAGAACCATGGAAGTGGAAAATATCAGTAGCGTGATCAATAATAAAGAGGAAGAAGATGATGTTCCACTTCCGGGGTTCCGGTTTCATCCGACTGATGAAGAACTTGTGGGGTTTTATCTTAAAAGGAAAGTCGAAAAGAGACCGGTCCGTATGGACCTTATAAAACAGGCTGATATCTACAAGTATGATCCATGGGATCTTCCAAGTATGTCATGATTTCTCTCATGTTTTAATCTTTAAGATCTGTCAATTTTTCTGTCATCTTTTGCTCAAAATTGTTGTGAATATTAATTTTCATCAGCTTACAGAAGTAGATGTTGCTCAAGGTTGAAAACTGAAATCTAATTTTTTCTGATACTTAATGGTTCTAATTTAGCTTGCTTGATATGCAGAAGGTAGTAATGTAAAAGACAGGGAGTGGTACTTTTTTTGCAAAAGAGGAAGAAAATATAGGAACAGCATAAGACCTAACAGAGTGACAGATTCTGGATTCTGGAAAGCCACTGGTATTGATAGACCAATTTATTCTTCGGCTGGAGATTGCATTGGACTAAAGAAATCCCTTGTCTACTATCGTGGAAGCGCCGGAAAAGGCACCAAGACTGATTGGATGATGCACGAGTTTCGCCTTCCACCCAGTGATGATAAAAGCAACAAACATATTGAACCCAAAAGCCTTGCTGATCAAGAAGCTGTAAGAAATTTAAAACTCCAATCTTTTTACTCTATTAATTATTAAGTTGTGGAGAAATATCTTTTTTTTTTCTGAGATCAATAGTGGAATCTAAGGCCTGAATTTGTCCACAAGCATATATATTAGGTGATTCACTATGTCTACTTACCTCTTTAGGGTTTTACTATTTTATATGTGCCATATAATATTAGGTAGATCCTGGAAAGAATGAATGAACAATATGAATATAGATATACTGAATCTTCATCATCAGTTTTCACATAAAGTTGGGTAAAACATTATTCTTCATTCTTGAGTTGCTGCTTTACAGGAAGTTTGGACGCTATGTCGAATTTTAAAGCGGAATGTTTCCTATAAGAAGTACAGACCAGACTGGAGAGATGTCTGTGCCAAGAGGAATATCAGTATCAATCCAGTTGATGCAAGCTCCAAAACATGCAGCTTGGAGTCTGATCATAATAACCAAAGTTATATCAGTTTCGATGCTCCAATAATTCGACAAAATGAGAAGAAACCCTATCCTTATTTTGGTGATAATATTGGAAACCAACAATATTTAGGCCATTTCAGCTCAGCTTCTCAGGTGACACCTGCTGCATCATCCTTCTCCAACTCTATGTGTTCAGACTTTTACGACCTCTTAAAGCATGCAGATTGGGAGGATCTTAGATCGATTGTGGATTGTGCTGCTAATCCTTTCTATTTGTAAAACTTTTATGTCATAAATATTTGTGTTAATTTGTATCAGTGACTTTATTTAGCGGATATAACATTTGGAGAATATATCTCTGTATGTGGGATTTTTACATTTCAATAATGTATAGGTTTTTTCAATATGCCAGTGTCTTTAAGGTTAGCTTTGTGTTCTTACTTCTTCGGAATTAGGATTTTCTGGGTTCTTCTAAACTATTGATACGTGACTGTAAATGTTGTATGTTTGCTTCCTATGAGACTTAAAAACCTGTTTAGTTGTTTTAATTTAATAATTTTGCTAAATATACATTTCAAAGTTACTTATTTTAACTACGAAAAATAACTTTCTAGAAAATATTTACTTCTAGAAATCACTATGTTGCCTGGCCTCCACCAAAACCACCAAAAAGTATCCACCATTCAACCATTTTCAGGTTACAAGGAACCATTGGGGAAAACACTATACATTGCATTTAGTATATTGAGAGGTGTTTAAATTATAAACAATTATTTAATTTTGTGTATAACTATTGTTTCAATATGAATAACATTAGGCAACTAAATTAATACTTTTCATAAATATTTCAAGAAATTAACTATTTTGAAGTATTTTTTTTCTTTTCTTTTTCGCTTTTCTTCTACCTGTTTCCATTGTAATTGTTACAATAAAATTATTTTTGTTTAATCCAATTTACCATCATAGAGTATCCTACATGTCTTACATGCTATTTTATAAGAGTAATGCTATCCATTATCACATGATCATCACTCTCGTTGGTAGTGTATTCCTTGCTTCATTGTCTAATGAAATTGTAATGCAATTTTAGTTTATTAACTTTGAGTGATAACCTTCATTAAAAGAAGCCAATCTAAAATAGATCTCATAAGATATTTCTATAATTTTTTAAAAGGTTTGGTTTAGTATATTGTTGTGCTTTTACGATTACTGACTTTTGTTGTGTTGAAAAAAGAATGTTTAAGAATAACTATTTGATAAACTTTTATTTCAGAGTATGTATGTTTCAAAATCAACATTTTAACATTTGTGATAAACAAAAGTAAGAATAATTACCACAATTTCTATTAGTTGCACTACATTTTAATTACACTTAAAGCATCAAACTTTTTTCCGCTATAACGTTCAAATCTCTAACTTTTTCGATGCAGTCTTATCAACAATCTTTCATTAATTAACACATTAGGGTCCGAGTAATGATTTCCATCTAAATATTCCATTGCAAGAACATTAAGTAACTTATTTGTTCAATATTATTTTTTTTTAAAAACAATAATTGTAAGTGCGTCAAAATAATTTCCCCATATTTCTAGCATGCAAGCATAATATTTTGACATAAATCGTCACCAAGGACCAGATGTCCTAATTAATGAAAGGTTAAGGATAAGAAGTTAGCGAAAAAATTTAGAGACATAATTATTACAATGACTAAAGGTTGAGAACTTTAAATGTAATTAAAACATAGTGCGAAAAATAAAAATTGTAGTGTAAATATATATATAATTATCATGAAAGTAATTTATTGATGTGTGTATACATTTGCTAAAATGGACATTGGTCATAGTAATGTCTATTTGTATTATTATTTTCATTATTATTATAGTAAATTTATTTAAATAAACAATATGTTATACTATCAAATATTTTTCAAGAACAATTCCACTACATTTATTTTAAATTATAAAAATTTAATATCTATTTGATCTCATAATTTATAAAAATACGAAATAAAAATACATTCCACATAGTAGAAAAGGAACTAATTTAATTTAACAGTGTTAAATTAGCATTTTAATTATATATAATTGAATAAACTAAAAATAAAATTTGAAAAGCTACCATTTTGTTGCTTCTCAATAGCTGCTGTCAAATTATAAAAAAATTCTTCTAAAATCAGTTTTTCTTAGTTTTACCACACACTTATATAACTTCCCGATTATTTGAGAATTTGGCTCTAAATTAATTTCAAAATGGGCCTCGTTAACTCTCAATAAATTATCTCTCTAATAGGCTACCTTAAAAATGAATTTTTCATTTTGGAGCTAAAAATTGAGATCAATATGGGACATGGTAATCTTCTGATTTTCTTGGCATTAATTGTAGGGAAAATCCCAAGTTTCACAAGTTCGGTCGGTTTATGAAAAATGAGGAATTCGGTATTCTCGATTTCAATACCGTATATGCTTTTTATCTGGTAAGATGATATATAACAGTAAGTTACAGTCGTACAACTAATTGGATAATAACAGAATGAATAACAAATCAACTATTGAATTTACTGCAATAAATAACAGAACGAATAATTGAAATTGCAGGAAATGAAATTTCAAACCGAGGCCTGTGTTACACACAATTTCCTTAAAACAGATTCGCCCCCTCACCGTCCGTGCTTGAGGTTTAAAACGAGCGTTCGTTTCCCAGAATATAACGGTAAAACCAGTAGCTTCCGAGCACCGCAGAAACCACTCCGGCGAACTGAATTAGTGCCTGAACTACACTACCACCAAGACAAAAATGCAGAAAAGACAGAACTCTGTGCAAATGAATTTTTTGTATATTCTAAATTAGAAAACTTTTACTTTTGTGTATTGAAATGAGAAAAATGAGCCACTATTTATAGGTTAGGCTACCATTAATGGCATGACTTTTGGCGTTTCTCATCTTTTTCCTATGTGGGACAACATTTTTCCCACATAAACTCCCTTTTGAGTGGCACACTTTGAGTCTCAATTTCTCATTCACCTGAGCATCATCTTTGGCAAGTAAATATATGATTTCGATGTACTCACGGAAGAGAACACAAATCAACTTTCATCTTCCAAATTGAACAACCGGCTCCCACTCAACACTCGTGCTAAAGTCGGCCCATAACTCAGTTTTTTTTTT